ATTGCTGACTCGGGATTTTCAATCGTGACAGGCCTTCCACAAGTTGGTGAAGAACAGCGCGTACTACAGGTTAGTTCTCAATTGGCATTCGCGACAAATTGTGCGCACAATGTACTGACCTCGAACCTCGCAACAGCCGCTTCCAGACCAAGTACAAGCGCAGACAGCAGGGCAAGACCGACTACTATGCCCGTAAGCGTCTGATCACCCAGGCCAAGAACAAGTACGGTGCCCCCAAGTACCGTCTTGTGGTCCGCTTCACCAACCGCGACATCATCATGCAAATCGTCACCTCCGAGATCTCTGGTGACAAGGTCTTCGTCGCCGCCTACGCCCACGAGCTCCCCGCCTACGGCATCACCCACGGTCTTACCAACTGGGCTGCCGCCTACGCCACCGGTCTCCTGATCGCCCGCCGTGCCCTCTCCAAGCTCGGCATCGACAAGGACTTCACTGGTGTCGAGGAGGCCGATGGTGAGTACACCCTCACCGAGGCCGTCGAGACCGACGATGGTGAGCGCCGCCCCTTCAAGGCCTTCCTTGACGTCGGTCTTCACCGCACCTCAACCGGTGCCCGTGTCTTCGGCGCCATGAAGGGTGCCTCTGACGGTGGCATCTTCGTCCCCCACTCCGAGAAGCGTTTCCCTGGTTACGACATCGAGACCAAGGAGCTCGACGCCGAGACCCTGAAGAACTACATCTTCGGTGGCCACGTTGCCGAGTACATGGAGACCCTCGCCGACGACGACGAGGAGCGCTTCAAGTCCCAGTTCCAGCAGTACATCGACGACGACGTCGAGGCTGACGGCCTTGAGGACCTCTACACCGAGGCCCACGCCGCCATCCGCGCCGACCCCTGGAAGAAGCCCGAGGGCTCCAAGAAGACCAAGGAGGAGTGGAAGGCTGAGTCCAAGAAGTTCAAGGTCCAGCGCCTGACCAAGCAGGAGAAGGAGGAGCGCGTCAAGCAGCGCATCGCCGAGTTCCGTGAGGAGTAAGCTTGTTGTTGTATCTAGCGGCTAAAAATCCATTCACGCGTGGGGACATCAGGGCATTTTGACGTTTTGGCATGACTTTTTTCTCAAGTCTGTCGGAGTTATGAGGCAAACAAAATCCGGAAGGGGATTATGATGGGTCAAGGGAAAGGAACTCTAACACAATTCAATAAGAATATCCCAAATGCCATACGTCAACCATTGAAGTCGATATAAAAATGAACAACAGCGTGAGACATGAACCGTGGCTAACCGACTTGGCTACTGTAGTGGTGTGTGTGCCGGCCACAACGACGACGGTGCGACGGCGAATGCTTGAATCCTCGCTAAGGCATCCCAAGGCATGGTGGTTGACCGGCGGCCTAGCTTGCACCGAGACGAGGTTTAGGCGTGTGCTGAGGCCAAGACCAGGGCACGAGACCCCGCATAGGAGCACCGATGATATCAGATCACGCCAGGGAAATGGTGAAAAATGACGATCTAGGTCGAGAATCAAGAGATGGCATCTGCGGGTTTTTTCTTCTCTCTGTTCCCTGCCTCACAACTTCCGGGGTCGGAGGGCACCGGAATGGCACCAGCGGCAATGGTTCAATATCGTGCTTTTAGCCTTATGGATCTGGCGGGGGCTGGCGGTCGATGATGTCGGAATGGCCAGTTAAAGGACGATTGAAACCGAGTGCCTTAAGGCTTGTGTCTCGCCTAACCCCCTTGGACGCGATGCTGCTACTGCAAGGCAGAGGAGTGATGCGAAGGGGTTGAGAGGGCCAGGCCCACAAAGTGTCCGAAAAGCGTTGATGGCGACATGAGGTAAAAGAGAGGGTCCGCGGCATGTGAGTTGCTCGATTTGAGGGATTGAGAGTCCAAATGGTTGCACAACAAGGCACATCTCATCAGTTCGCGCGCGGGAATTACGGGATGGACGGAGGGTACGGCGGCAGCGGGGTGGAGGGACCCAGGAAACGGTTTTCCCACCAAGCCCCGAAGCACATCATCTCATGGAGCGAAAAGAGGAAAGGCGTCTGTGTCTGTTGGGTTGTCTTCGGGGCAATTGTGCGAAGAGCCATTGGCATTGCTGCAGAACGAGAGAAGAGAGCCCACCGTCCCCTACCCTTCCCGGGCGACTTGCAGGGTTGATGGTGGATGATCCAATTGTTTTTTTTCTGGCGGTGTCCGGCCGTCTTCTTTTAGAAGGGAGGGGGACACCGCTGGATGGGAGCAGGGGAGACCCTCAAGGGCCAACCGCGATGTCCGCTTCTCAGGAAGCGAGGCGGCCCCCGTGATCTCGCGATGCTCAGGGGGCGGTCAGTCAGTCGACCAGAGACTCCGAGTCGAATGTACAGTGGCCCATGTGCATTTGTACGGGATTGAGTTACCTTAGTCGCAGACAGCAAGTCGTTATCCAGGGACCGGTTCTTTATCAGTTAATGCAAACGTGGAGAGGCATCTGGACCCTGAATCGCCCTCGCCCGCAAGGCGCCGCCATGGCCAGCGGAGGGCTCAGCTACAGCTGCAATGGGCAAGTGCGAACTCTGTTTGTGCAGCAGAAATTCCTCAGGACTGGAACCCAGAGGCGAGCTTCGAGGACGGCGTGAGACGAGATCAAGGCTGGGAGAGGCGTAGTGGGCTGTAAGGCAGAGGAAGCTAAGACATGTAGGGCGACTGTAGGTTGGACGAGGAGGATAGATTAATAAGAGCCTTGCTTATTTGAGATCATCCACGTCTCGCGACCTGAGGTGTTGTAAGGTGACAGTGCAGTAGCGTGCGGTTCTAGTGATAGGTTGCATTCTGCAAGACGGCCGGAGACGGGGACCGATGCGGATGAGCCCAGACCTTGGGTACGATTCGGTGCCTCTGGTGAGTGTGAGACGAAGCACGGCGTCGCTGTCTTCGACTCGAGGATGCGAGTCGTCAAGACAGCACAAGTTGGAGGAGGGGTTCGTCCGCTTCTTGGAAATGATTGCCCTCCACTGACTGAGCATTGGTACTGGCACTGGCATTGGCACTGGCGGCGGCAGCAGGTGAGCGGTCATACCCACGGTCCGCGGCTTTTCTGACGTTGCCAAACCCCGCTGGGCAGTGGGGGCGAACGGCAGTGTCGTCCAACCAGAAGACGGTGGAAGCAATCCACTGGCCACCTGTTGACGGCAGCTCAGCGGAGGGTCCACGGGTCACCTACAGGTAGGTACAGGCCAGGACCTGGAGGAGCCCGGAGTACCTGAGGACCACCAGCCAATGCCTGTCATCCAACCGTCGCTCTCGCTGTCGCCGGTGTTTTCTCGCCGTGTGCTGGAGACTTTGGGGGGCAGTAGCGTTGGCGGTGCTGCGAGCGCTAGCTGCAACCTCCGGATCGCGCCCAGCTCGATCTAGGCCTATTAGACATCCAATGCGTTGCTATTGTAAGCGGGAGGCGATCTGGCTTGTCGCCTCAGCCGGAGGACGGCTCACGTCAGTTGCTCCCAAAGCTGGGAGTGAAGACGGCTTTGTGTCAATCCCGTCCAGTAGCTTCAGGAGCGTGCCTGAGGTAGACAAGGAAAGGATGGAGAGTACCGGACGGGCGAAGAAGCAGAAGAAGAAAAGAAGGGAGAAAAAGTGGCCGATGTTATGGCATGATCAAGTCCGTCCGATGGTGGTGTTGCCGCGGGACTTCCCACCGGGCCAGGACCAGCATCTGTCAGCCGGATTGACATGAGGATTTTGATTACCATAATCGGAGTAATAAGTAATTAAAGGAGCCCAAGGCATCCGGTGAAATGTTATGTTTTGCGAGCGAGCATGCCCGGTGCCGACGAGAGCTTATTCGCGAGTCTCAGTGCCGTCCGTGATTGTGCGAGAATAAGGCTCGCAGGACGAGTGAAAGCCAAGGCGTGCTGTCTCCAATCTGGGCCATGGCGCTGCCCATCTCCTGCCAATGACGAGATGCCTCTCCTCTAAAAAGGTTAATGAACCCCGCTAAAGCTGCCACGTCCGGCCTTTCCTTCCACGCATTAGAAGAAATGAAGTGCCCGGAATACTGCTGAGGTGCGTACCTATTCGTACCTTGCTGGAGTGCAGTGCCTGACGGACGCCGCGAGGAATCCATCAATCCACGCCAGGGAAGACGAGCTGAAGGGAAACGATACGCAGACGCAGACGCAGACGCAGACGCAGACACAGACAACAACACATCTCGCGGTGGTGCTTCCCTCCTCCATCCCAGTGCCTCCTTCCTTCCTTGCTTCCCTCCTCATCCTACCTACTCCTCCTCCTGCTGCTGCTGCTGCTGGCACTGCTGCCGTCCCGCATCTACGTACCGAGAGGAGAGAGCCACCACACCCATCCCGTCCCACGGTTCCCAGGGTCCGGGGATCAAGTGAATAACGAAGTACCCTCCACCTCCCGCCCTCTTTCGCATTCAGCAAAAAGTCACCCGCCCGCCGGGGCTGAACGCACCTCGCCTCTTCCATCACCTTCCTCTGTCTCCCCGAAAGTCAACCTCCACTGCTTCCTCCCTCCGGCGAACATCCTCCTCGCCTCCAGCCGGACGACCTCGTCTTCTTGGCCCGTTGCGGCCCTCCGTTCACCTCTACGCCTAGTCTTGATATCTTTGCGACATACAATATGGAGCAGGTTCATGGAGTAGATGTTAGCTGGATGACCCACGGCTCTCCAAAAGGTACGCAATCATGTCCCATCTGACCTCATTTTCCAGGGCAGTTGGTGCTTGCCCCCAGTCGCAAATCGCCCGCCCAGTCACCCAGTCACCCAGTCACACTCGTCGCTCGCTGCTCGCCTATGCCAGGCCAGCCGCCCAGAGCCTACCACGCCCGCATCCGCATCCCACCCAGCAGCTCAGTCGGCCCAGATAAGCAGCACCCGGCCTGCGACCGCTCGCCAATGGATGCCGCATCTCTGGGTCTCGCGCCCGCTGCTTATATCCAAGAACCCGTCACTTCCCGCGACTTTTGCTCCCCATTCTCGCCCATCTTGTTCTTTGAACCAAACATACAAACCTCCGGTTACTAATCCGCAATGCGACTCACAGACAAGGCGCTGAAGCCTTCTACAGCACGGCGATCCTCGACATCCACCCCTCGAGAGATACCAACCCCTGCCTCTCCGACCGCCGGCCAGCCTCCCGTCAACGGCGACGGAAACACCAATGGCACGACGACAGACGCCACAAAAGGTTCAACAGAAGGCGCGAAGCCTATTCCTGTGGGACGTCCTCCCATAGGCAGAAGTCCGTCGAACGAGAAGTCGGGTCCCAACGGCACTCCGCCCACCCGCCGCAACTCGTGGTTTTCCAATATTTCTTCCAAGTTTTCCTCTTCTCCGAACAACAACAATAACGCGCAAGCGAACCAACAGCCCCAGAACACTCCCCCAAAGGATTCAGGTCCGGTGCCTCCGAAGGTGACTCCTGCGAAGAATGCAGTGCTCCCGCACGCTGCCAAGTACGATGGGGACCAGCCATACACACCAGCGCCTCCCGGCCGCGGCCAGGCTGGCTTCCTTGGAGTCTTTCGCCGATTGTCTTCCTCGGGCGGTGTTTTGGGACCAGGCGCGAAGGGCACCCATGGGCTGGTCGAGCGAAAGGTACTGAATATTGACCGCAATCGCGAGCGCTGTCAGATTTCGGACTTGCACCAGGCGAAACTTCGAAGGGTCGCATTCAGCGTCGATGTTGAAATCGCGCCAATGCCAAAGTATGTCGATACGGATACGCCAACGAAGAAGCCCCTTGAGAAGTCGAAGACCCGGAAAGTGACAGAAAAGGGTGAGGGTGAGGCGCTCAAGAACCCAAAGTCGCTCGAGGAACAAAAGGAGCGCGACGGAGTCATCCACGAAACAGGCGAGCCCGTACCCAAGGAGCCAGAAAGGGAAGGAACCGACCCGGCCCAGGAAAAGAAGGACGGCGAAGTTACCACTGCAAACCCACTCACGGAAAACAAGGAGAAGGATACCAAGAAGAAGGAGAAGAAAAAGAAGAGCGAAGAGGAGAGGAAAGCTAGGAAAGAGAAGAAGAGGAAACAAGCCGAGGCCAATGGCACGATCCCAATGGAGATTCATGTCGACGACAGCGACTCTTCCAGCGAAGGCACGCCAGCTGCAACACCAAAGACAACAGCATCTCCCACGACAAACCCGGTTAGGATATACCGGCGCTGTTGCCAGTTGAGAGAAACGCCGATCCTTAAGAAGATCACCGAGCAGCTGAGCAGCCCTTCAAATTGCTCATCCGACATCGGCATGGTGCAAAAGCTGGACCTCACAGGCTACTGGCTCCAGCTGCCAGACCTCGTCACTTTGGGAGACTATCTAGCCGTCGTCCCGGTCAAGGAGCTCATTTTGGAGAACTGTGGCCTTTCAGACGAGGGGTTGAGAGTCATCCTCGCCGGCCTGCTGGCTACAAAGAAGCCCGAATCTAGGCGGCGGAAGCACACCCAACCTGATGGCCTCACAATCCAGGGAGGATTCGTCGAACGCCTTGTTCTCAAGAACAATAAGATCGGACCCGAAGGCTGGAAACACATTTGCCTCTTCATCTACCTCTGCCGAACGCTCAAATTTCTCGATGTATCCACCATCCCCTTTCCTCGACCTCCCGCATCAGCTCAAAATGGAAATGGTCACACTCATCATTTGCTGAGGCATTCCAGTGATGAGCGACCCCAGAACATCGCAGCAACACTCTTCTCCAAGGCTATTGGTGAAAGATTGGCTGGGTCCACACTCGAGCTCGTCAATTTAGGAGAGACCAACCTGAATCCGGATGATCTCGGAGTGATAATCGATGGTATTAACCAGTGTGGCGTCAAACGTCTGGGCCTTGCTCACAACAATATTGATGATAAGGGCCTGCAACACGTTGCCAGATACCTCTCCCAGAGCTTTTGCGAGGGCCTGGATCTTGGCGGCAATGATCTCCGAGATTACATGGACGTGATTGCGAACGCGATCTCAGAAAAGGATTCTTTGTGGGCACTCAGTCTGGCTGAATGCAACCTTAAGCCCGGTTCACTTTGCAAAATCTTCCCCGCGCTTGCGCAGCTCAAGGACTTTCGCTTTATCGACCTTTCTCACAATCGGGATCTATGCAAATCTGATCCTAGTGCTATTGGTCTCTTGCGCAAGTAATTTGTGTCCACTCAACCATGGCTGATAATTACTAACAATCTCCAGATACATACCGAAGCTCAATGGTTTGCGTCGCATCCACCTAGCCGATGTTGCCATGACTTCTGAGCAGGCAATCGCTCTCACAGAGATCCTTCCCGAGGCGAAGCTACTAGCACACATTAGCTTCCTTGAGAATCCAGAGTTGGTCAAGCTTACGGATGCCAAGACTGAGGAGACTCAGGAAGAAGCATGCGCCTTGTATGCATCCTTCTTGGCTGCCACACGAGTCTCCAAGTCGATCGTGTGTGTCGACATTGATCCCCCTGGCGACAACTCTGGCGAGATTGTCAAGGCTTTGGCCAAACAGGTTGTGGCATATTGCTTGCGGAACATGGATCGCTTCCCCATGGGAGACATCAGCAATGTTATATCCACGGTTCTGGCCGAGACTCAAGGGCCTCAACCTGGTGGCCCAATTCCTCCTTACCCCGATGTGCTTGCACACTTGGTTGGCCACGACGTGCTGAGAGACGATTCCTCAGACAACGAGTCGGCCCCGGATGATGACTACGTCATCGGTGGAACGGGAGTTGTGAAGGCCCTTACGTGCTGCCTGAAGAACAGAGGAGATGAGTCGAGAAGACAGTCTGGCGAGTTCATCCGAGACTTTGAAGATGGCGTGCCAGTGCCGGCAAGCCCTCGACCGAAGCTTCCTCCTGGAAAGGCCAAAGACATGTCGAAGCATCTCCTTGCAAGCGCTCGCAAGATTCGCCAGCGATTGCAGCCTGCCTTGTCAAAGGCTAGGGTCAACCCTGAAGAAGATGAACACAACTTGCGCAAGTTGATGTTCCTCGACACCACACTGGCCAATATTATCAAGCGATTCGAGGATGAGTTCCCCGACACTCGAGTGTCGACCGACGAAGCCTCGGAAAGCACAATGCCCAGCCAAAGCGATCGGCTGGGCACATCATTGTCCTCTACCGAAGACCCTGACCAAGGAACTATTCCTTCAGATCCCGAAGATGAGACTGGCTTGCAAGTCCGACCTGGTCTGCCGCGCACGAACTCCACGTTGTCGCATACGTCCAAGGCGCTCATTGAGGAAGAAGGCAGAATTCACAGAACTGGTCACAAGATTCGCTCCGGCATCATCAAGCCTGAATACTATGGCTTGCTCAGTGGCGTACTTGAGGTCGGCCTCGATCCCAAGCATACCGCCATGCTTCACCAGATGATCGAAGAGATTGATGACGCGGATTTGACTGAGAAGGTTGAGCAGAAGGGTATCATGCGCGTTTTCCACGAGGACCGCGATCAAGTCCGTGAAGGACTGCGGGCATTGGATCCCCTGCATTGGGATCGCTTTGTCGAGAGTCAGGAGAAAGCAAGGGGGAACGTCAAGTCGAGCATATCAAATGCAGTCAAGCCGGCCGACGAGGTTGCTGTTGAGGACTGAACATGAATCGACGTCGTCGCCTAACACTATGAGCGGTATTTCACCGCATTTTGTACGAATAATTTGCTTAACATGAATTGTTGGATGGGGGACTTTCGAAACAGCAAGAAGCAAGCATAGGCGTACCGCGAGAAGGGACTTCATCGCACAGAACTTTTTCTTTTTTTCCTTCTACCATTTTCCCCTTCTTCCCGTGGAAGACTTTGCGGACACAACACGTCCATTTTTCTGATACCAATAGCTCGGGAACCAGTGGACATATCTGCCAACCCCCGTTGACAAAAGTTGCATCTTGGCAGACGAGGGAAACAAATGACGAGACGGGACACAGTCGCTACTGGAACTCCTGTAATGTACACTAGTACCTCCCTAGCGAAATCATCGCACATTTTCGCCCTCTCGAGGGCAAGGAGGCCGCCGGGTTTTGACGCGCCGAAATCGTTCTGATTCTGTGAAATGCCGTGTATTCTCTCTCTCTCGATATCGTTTCTCTTGCCTGCATCTCGTTGACACGGGTGCTCAGGATTTTCTCCTCAAGTTTGAGAGACGGGGTTGAAGAACAACGTCGCGTCCAGGAATGTCGCAGTAATTGGGCTTCTTGTCTGTGCACAAGATACAGCCACATTTTTGGCGGCTTTAATGTGTAACCAGGAAACGCTCGTTCCCGCATTCACTTCGCCGACACGCGTCAGATGCATAGGGTTTGATGCTTAAAAGGCGTAGAAATCACATTTGACATTGAAGCTCCGATTGAAACTCTCATCGCCACATCCAGGGGCGGCATCTGTACGTGTTTGTTCTTCCCGTCCTTCGTTGGTCGTTTCCCGTTTCCCAAACCAAAACACTAGGGTATAAGCTACTACAATGATCCGACCTATCCCAAATCCGCACGTAACAAACATCTCCTTTTTTCCCATCTCTATTTCCGACCTCACCACTCCCTCTCTTGAGTGGTTGTCGCCGTGCCGTCGCGTTCATGCGTGAAACCCCATCCCCGATTAACACCATTAAAATGCATGCATACTGTTCCCACCTGAAACCCCGACTCGTCGCGCCGTATTTTTGGTTTGCGATGCAGAAAAAGAAGTGGTCCCGTCATCCTGATAGATGAACCCACTGGAACCGAAAAGATTATGTACAGCCGAATAGAAACAACAATAGACAATGATGTATGATGATAGATGCCGGCCTCCCCAAAAAGGGGTAAGGAGAACAGAAAAAAAGCAAACGAGAAATAAATCATGAACAAGCGTGTGTGTGTGTGTGTGTGTGTGTGTGTGTGTCCTGTTAAGCATAGCTCCTGACAGGATTGAGAACAGTGACGGGCAAACTCGAAAACGTGGCGTGCCCGACGTTCGTTCCCTCGCCCTCAGCGACGACACCCCAGGCAACCTCGCGGCAGGCGGCGCCAACGTCGCCGGGGGAGCGGTGGCACCTGGCGCTGATGACGGCGGAGCAGCTCCCTCCCTTGAGGACGAGCGGGTTGCCGGACGGGTCGCCGTCGACCCGCGTGGGCGTGGGATCCGCGCGGCGGAGACCGAGACCGAGGACGAGGCCCGCGATGATGACGAGGAGCGCGAGGAGGGCCAGGAGCCCGACGCCGCTGAACCCGACGCCGTTGAGGGGGGCGGGGAAGTCTGCGTCCTTGGCGGCGGGGAGGGAGTCGACGGAGATCATCACTACCGACTGGCTGAGGACGAAGCCTGCGGCGGCGAAGAGGACGAGGAGGAGCCAGGAGAAGGGGCGCGGTAGGGTGAGGTAGAGGCTTGTTGTTTGCGCGCCGAGGGGTCGGCCGGAGCTGACGCGGAGGGGGAGGGTCAGGCCGGGCAGGGCGTACTGGCTCAGCTCGTGCGAGAGGAAGTAGGAGGAAAGGAGGATGTTGGTGGTGAGGTAGAGGACGGCGAGGAGGAGGTGAGGGAGAGCCGCGACGAGGGCGAAGCCTGCGCGGGCGGCTCCATTGGGGAGAATGTACAACTGGTGGTCCGGAGCGTGGCCGAAGGCGCTGAGACTGGCGGATGTATCTTGGCTCAATGGAATCGCCAGCGCCGCGGCGGCAAGGCCTGTAGGCACGGCCCAGGTGAGGAACCAGACAGCCCAGAGGGAGAGGCTGGGGGTCTGGAACCAGAAATGTTCCTTGGAAGTCCAGTACTTGGCTTCATTGTAGCCCCAGCGGCCTTGGGTGACGTCCTTCTTGTCGAGGAGGCAGGAGGCTTTGGTGGTGTGGTCTGGGTGGGTGATGAAGGATGCGAGAGTGTCGCCGAGCGTCACGAGAGGCTCGAAGCCGGTGAAGAAGTACACCGCGCCAATGGCAGAGACGGAGACGAGGTTGAGGATTGCAATGACGCCAAGCAGGGAGCCGTTGAGGATTACTGAGCAAGATTCGCGTGACTCGGGCCGGGCGAGGCAGTACTCGGCGGTTGTGTCGTTTATCTTGATGGAGGAAGGGTTCGTCGGGTCAACGAATTGAGAGAGCGAGGAGCCTGATTTCGCCGTCTGGACGAGGGAGTTGCTGGTCGAGGCAGAATCCGTGACCAGCAATACGGCGCTGAAGTCGCCCTGGTACACACCTCCGAATTCGTTCAGACAGTCGGCAATGGTGAGATTCGTCAGGTTGTTCTGGGATGCCTGGGTCTGCAGGGTCAGGATGTCGGATCTCGAGAGCCCGCCGGCGTTCGTCGCAGACGCATTGCTGAACTGGCCGGAGGAAAGGAAGCTCGGGGTGACGAAAAGGATTTGATGGGCGAATCCCGGCATTGTTGTAAAGATTACAGCATTATATCTAATGACGGTCAGCACACGTAATTGAAAGTAAACCATAGTTGTGACGGACATTACTTGGGTGCTGACGGCCGCCATCATAATGATGACCGCCATGACAACCCTGGGTTTGGAAATGAAACGCAGGTTCCTAAAGGAAGGAACGCCAATGTGGAGCCAACGATGCTCCTCGTGAGCCATTTCGACCTCGGTGCGTGTCGGGCTGCTGAGTACTTGAAAGACGTAGTTGGCTGTCGCGAGAAGGATGATGACGATGACGTTGATGGCCACGGAGAGTCCGAACTTGATCTCATCTGCCTTGGAGCAAGATCCTTCGTACACTCTGCTCTCTCCCCGGATCATTCCGACAACTACCAGCGCCAGGACCAGGCAGACGATGGCGACAATGAGGATGATGAAGCCGATGACGATGTTCACTGCGATGCCGGCCCTCCACCCCGACTTCATTCTGCTGAAAGTACCCTGGCCGCCGCGCTTCCCCCCCGGAGGCATCATCCGCTCCAGATCTTCGCTCGCTGACGCTGTCGACATGCTGTGTGTTGTCGCCTCATCATAGAATCCTTCTCCTTGGTAGCGTTCCGCCGCTTGTGCTGCCAGTTCGCCCCCTTCCGTCTGTCTCTTTTTCTCCTCCCTTTTCCTTGCCATGGTCTCTGGTGTTTCTCCTCTGATGTAGTTGACGATGTAGTCGGGAACGATATTTTCGAGAATTGTTGCTGTGGAATTACGCTTGCCCGGAGCCCATGTTGCCCTCCTCGGTGGCTCCCGCTCCCGTTCCAACGGAAAACTTGGTCCTAGACTCGGCCCTGGAAAGCTTCCCGTGAAGCCGGTGAACGGCCTTGATGAGGCGACGTCGGACGCGGAACTCTGATGGCGGAGAAAAGGCCATTGCACCGTTTGTCTGCTGACTGTGCTCTGCCGTTGCTCCTGTTCGGTGAGTTCTCTGATCTCTTGGTGTGGGACTCTATGCTGCATGTAAGTCCGCATTCAAGGTTTTAGGCCGCATCCGTCAGTAGTAGACTGTACCTTTCTACTCTCTCAACTTGCCCTTCCTCGTCCCAAGTATATCTGTAGGACGGCCCATGATCTCGTGGTGGAATTACAACCTCCATGACCTCGCGGAGGAGCGCAGCGCAGACAGTTGTACGCGGCAGTTCGACATGAAGGGATTAAAAAGAAGAAAAATTGAGGGTGGATATGAATATGGTTAAAGAGGGGGAAAACTGTCTGATCAGGTCGATCAGTGCGGTCGGTACAAGACGACAGAAGCAAGAGCCGAAGGAGTGAAGGCACTTGCAGCTTTCGTCTCGTCTAGAAAAGAGACAAAACAGAATAGAGTTTTAGAGTGACGTGCAGCTGACACGTTTGGTGAAGGAGATGGAAGAGGGAGAAAAAGACACCCATGGCCGAGCGCCAGGGTTTGCGATCGTCTTGTATATGTCGGAGGGCTCGTCCGTCCGACCTTTTCTCATACGGCGGGCCTTGGTGCGATTGCGGGAGAGGCGGCCTTGACAAGGGCACAACGCAGGTGGATGGGGAGCCACCGATTATTGGACTAAAGCCCATGGCAGATCATGAACAGGGAATGGTCCTTGTCACTCGGGGGACTCGAGACTTCAAGCGGATGTGCAGACAAGAGGGGCCCGAGTGTGGTGGTGGTGGTGAGCCGCAGCGCCATCGAGGATGACCGCTTCAAGGCGAACGATGATGGAGGGGTGAGCAAGGGGGATTGGGAAGGGGGCTGACGACGTTCGGGACATGACGAGGAATCAAGGATGTTGGCGGCAGACGCTTGGAGATGCAAGATGAGATGGCATTCTGGTCGCGGCGAACGACTCGAGCCAAAGGCTTCCTTTCCGGCCGGTTGGATTGGACGACAAGAGGGCCGGTGCCCGATCGTTGACCGTGCAGGAACATTGGGGTGGCTTAGCTTTGATGAGCTCTTGTCAGAGTTCCTAGCCTCTGAGTCGAGGGCGAGTCAAATATCAGATAACTGGGGGACGAGGAGGGACGGGCCATGGATGATGGGAGGAGGAAGGCATTGAGATCTTTGACATGTCTGTCCATGTTCTCCCGTTTAGGGATTCCATCCGTATGGCCTCGAGTGCTCAACGCATGAAGAACAGAATCCGAAGATCGGTTGTTGAGAAGGAGGCTTCTGTCACCGACCATGACGATTCGGTGACGGTCCGCTTGGACGTTGCTTCTCCGGAGACGCAATCTGC